GCTAAAAATTGTTGTTCTATTTTTGCCATAGGTGCATTCCTCACATCAAATGCTGCCTTAATATAAAAGGGTTCACGCAAAAGCCTTGTCGTTCCTCTGAAATCCACTTCTGATCAACACCTGCCATGAACGACCCCACCCTCTTTATTGACCAGACTGCTGCGTCAAGCAGCACAATTTCGTGGAAAATAGTTGAATAAAACCGTTCACTAAGCTCGCAACGAGCTGAACATGTCTTGAGTAGACTTATTTGCTTCAATTGTCAATAGATGCAGAGTGAAATATAAAAAAATGTCGCAAGAACGCTGTTTTTGGTAGGTCAAGAATTGGGCAAAATCGTTCACGGCAAGCGCCGATCAAGCGTAAATTTCTGGAGATTGGCAGAGAATTATGGTGAGTTCTCTTGCTTTTACAGAGTACATGATAAGAGCTACATAAGCACGTCAAAATCGGACAAACAATTTTTTGCGTGAGTGCTGCCTTTAAGAGAATAGCTGCGAAAAGTTTGGAAGATCAAGATTTTATCAAAGTTATTCTTATTGAAGAGAAATAAGATGTCTGGGAAAGTCAGAGATTGAATGACGATTCTGAATAGGTATAAAAAGCGAATTATTGATTTATTATTATGAGCGAGAAAAAGACACAAATAGATCAATAAGCTCTTTTTTCGTGAATTCGTCGGTAAAGACAGCTGGCTGTTCTTGACGCTCACAGTTTCAGATGAGAGTGTATTAAAAACGCGGTGGGTGAATGAGGCAGTTGCTTAGAAACCTAAACTCATTAAGAAACGCTGAAAGACAAAACTCGAAATTTCAGATGATGTCATCATGTCAGGAAATTCCTAAGAGAAGAGATGTAAAGATAGAACGAACAGAAACTCAATCGCTTTTCTAGCATCACTGCTCAAAGGCCTCCAAAATACAGGTATTCACCCATCTTTGTAGATTAAGTATACGATAGCGGCTAGCGGTGAAAGAAATTTCGGTTCTTTTCGGTGTTGTACCAGGTTTATCGGAAGCGAGGGAAGGAGAGGCTTGTTTAATGTTCAGAGCAGATTTAGCGAAAAATAGAAAGTTGGATGGAAAATTGTTCATTTTTTTCCCGAACTCAAACTTTGCTAATAGTTCATCTGGATATGAGCTTTTTCAAGGTGGG